CCTCATGCTGGGAACGATGGAGAACAAAAGAAGGGGACGAAAGAGAAGGTGGTGGCTGGATGGAGTCACCGAAGCAGTCGGCGTGAGCTTAAATGGACACCGGGGACACACACGCACACACACACACACACAAGAATTTCTATGCCCTTGATATTTAAAAAAAAGGATCAGTTTCAGTGCTTACATCAAAGGGTAGGGAAGTTGCCTTTGTGACCTCCTGGACAAGTCTGCTGGTAATCCTGCTTCCTCTCTTAATGAGAGGTGCTGCTCCAAGGATATTTTGAAGGACGCTAAACGCATTCACTTCCGGGCTTCCAACAGCTGCTCCTTCTGCTACTACAACCGAATGGACGAGGTTCTCCCCGTGTTGTTCTCGCATTTCACCTTGAGGGAAGAGGAGACATTCGTCTAGATTTAAGTAGGCCAGAGATGAACACGGATTGCTCGGTGGAGACACTGAATTTCACCCAATTTCTCTCTCTCTCTCTGTCTCTGTCTCTCTATCTGTCTCTCTCTCGGTCTCTCACTCTCTGTCTCTCTCTCGGTCTCTCTCTCTCTCTGTCTCTGTCTGTCTCTCACTCGATCTCTGTCTGTCTGTCTGTCTCTCTATCTCTATCTGTCTCTCTATCTGTCTCTCTGTCTCTCTCTGTCTCTCTCTCTGTCTGTCTGTCTCTCTCTGTCTCTCTCTCTCTGTCTGTCTGTCTCTCTCTCGTAAGCATTCTAGGAAATGTTCCAGGAAACTCCCCTATTGGTTTTGCTTGTCGGAAGGTCGCAAAAGGGGATCACATCACCCCGGGACAGTGCAACCGACATGAATACGAATCAGTTGCCAAGTGTCTGAATTTTGATCACGTGGCCATGAGGATGCTGTAACGGTCGGAAGTGTGAAAAACTTTCTGCAGCGCTGTTGTCACTTCAAACGGTCCCTAAATGATCTAATACAAGTCAGGGACGACCTGGATTTGCCAAATACTGGGTTTTTTTGGACTATAAGATGCACTGGAGTATAAGATGCACCATGATTTTGAAGAGGTACATTTAAAGTTTTTGCACTCTTAAGGCCTCCCAAACCCTCTGCACGCCTCGTTTTTTGCAAAAAGAAAGGGCATGCAGAGGGTTTGGGAGGCTTGTAGAGTGCTCCTGGGGGGCTGGGGGCAAGCAAAAGTGGCCTGTTTTGTGCTCGGTTTTGCCCTCCCCAGCCCCCAGGAGCACTTTGCAAGCCTCCCAAACCCTCTGCACGTCTATTTTTGCAAAGGGGGTGGGGTTTTGGTAGGCCAAAAATGCTGTATTCAATGTATAAGACACACCCAGATTTTCACCCTCTTTGTCTCTGTGTGTGTGGGGGGGGGAAGGTGCGTCTTATACTCCGAAAAATATGGTATTCCCAGCAATCTCAGAATGCTAAAAAAGGCACTTCAAGAGGAAAGCAACTTACCTCCGCGATATTTGGCTTTTTCCCCAGCCAGGCCAGCTCCACTGCGAATATTAAGGAACTGTTCCCCAACCTGCTTCAGATCGGCGTGGCTGACACCTGCAAGACGACACCCGGGTGAGAAGGAGGACCCCTTCGAAACGATAGTGTTGCCTCTTCAGCATGGCATAAAACAAGAAATGGGAGATTACCTACCGAGTCCCACTAAGGCCATGCGTCCACTTGTGAAGTTGTTCTGGACATATTCGTGCAACTGTGGAAAAACAAGAGATAAAGTCTTCAAAAGAGCTTATCATCCTCATCCTCATCATCTTTTAACGACCCCATAATTCCTTGCAGGGTGGAGTCTGAGCAACTGAATGGAGGTAGCAGTGTTTGAAGGGCCAGATGCCTTTCCTGTTGCCAATGCGGAGTTTTGTTCGGCAGATATATTCTCGGGTGTGCTCAGAGAGAGAAATATCTGCCTCTAACCTAGGATCGAACTCACAGGCCACCTCTAAGCCACCACACCACTCCTCTTCAAAAGAACTAAATATGTAACTAAAATGATTGTAAGCCACTTTTTTGCTGTAACTTGGAACGGTTGTTGAGAACTATCTGTACTTTGCTGTCTCATCTAATCCTTCTTAAAGACTTCTGAGCTGATAATCATTATTACATTTTATCCTAGCGAATTCTACAGCTAAACCAATCCTTCAAGATTTGAAGCCCTGCCTTGCCCGAGTCGGATGAACAAAGCAGAGTGTCTCCAGGCATCATCACTGTAAAAGTACCATTCAGATTCTTGCCTGTTCTGATGTAATTTTGCCAATCCTGAAATCTGGACAGTACAAAGAATTAGCCAGGGCATTTCGGTAAGCTGCGGCGTGCAAATTCTCCAGGACACCTAGGCAAAACAGAAGGCGACACTTTAATTGTCTGTGAAGCAGATGAAAGGACTCTTCCCTCACCTTATATTAATCATGTGCACTGCCCAGAGTCACCAGTGTGGGATGAGCGGCTATATTAATGTAATCAATAATAAATAAATAAAATGGGTATCTAAGCTGTGTTCTAACGAAACAAAAATCCTCTTGCTACATATACCATTTTCTCTCAACTCAGTGACAGAATTTTCTTTGTAATAAAAAAGCAGAAATGAACACTTCCAAGTGTTTAACCAACTAGCAAAGGCATAAGTTACTGACACTGACTGGGAGTTAGTGGTAATTAACCTTAAGGTAAAGGTAAGGTTCCCCTTGCACATATGTCGTTCCTGACTCAAGGGGGCGGTGTTCATCTCTGTTTCAAAGCCGAAGAGCCAGCGCTGTCCGAAGATGTCTCCGTGGCCATGTGGCCGGTATGACTAAACGCCGAAGGCGCACGGAACGCTATTACCTTCCCACCAAAGGTGGTCCCTATTTTTCTACTTGCATTTTTTACATGCTTTTCAACTGTTAGATTGCCAGAAGCTGGGACAAGTAATGGGAGCTCACTCCATTATGCGGCGCTAGGGATTCGAACTGCCGACCTTTGTGATTGATAAGCTCAGGATCTTAGCCACTGAGCCACCGCGACCGTGTGTGTCCCACTTAACCTTACCTGTAGGTAATAAGTAACAGAGGCCTACCCACACTCAAGTGTCTTGATCATAGGAAGGAATAAGAATTGTT